CATAGAGAGAGACAGATATGGCAACAGAGTCAGATAAATATACTGACATAGAGAGAGACAGATATGGCAACAAAGTCAGATAAATATACTGACATAGAGAGAGACAGATATGGCAACAGAGTCAGATAAATATACTGACATAGAGAGAGACAGATATGGCAACAGAGTCAGATAAATATACTGACATAGAGAGAGACAGATATGGCAACATAGTCAGATAAATATACTGACATAGAGAGAGACAGATATGGCAACAGAGTCAGATAAATATACTGACATAGAGAGAGACAGATATGGCAACAAAGTCAGATAAATATACTGGCATAGAGAGAGACAGATATGGCAACAGAGTCAGATAAATATACTGACATAGAGAGAGACAGATATGGCAACAAAGTCAGATAAATATACTGACATAGAGAGAGACAGATATGGCAACAGAGTCAGATAAATATACTGACATAGAGAGAGACATATATGGCAACAGAGTCAGATAAATATACTGACATAGAGAGAGACATATATGGCAACAGAGTCAGATAAATATACTGATATAGAGAGAGACAGATATGGCAACAAAGTCAGATAAATATACTGACATAGAGAGAGACAGATATGGCAACAGAGTCAGATAAATATACTGACATAGAGAGAGACAGATATGGCAACAGAGTCAGATAAATATACTGACATAGAGAGAGACAGATATGGCAACAGAGTCAGATAAATATACTGACATAGAGAGAGACAGATATGGCAACAGAGTCAGATAAATATACTGACATAGAGAGAGACAGATATGGCAACAAAGTCAGATAAATATACTGACATAGAGAGAGACAGATATGGCAACAAAGTCAGATAAATATACTGACATAGAGAGAGACAGATATGGCAACAAAGTCAGATAAATATACTGACATAGAGAGAGAGAGAGAGAGAGAGAGGTTGAGAGAGAGGGTGAGAGAGAGAGAGACAGTAGTAATTCAATAAATGCCCTTGACATTTTCTCTTGCACACTTGACCTTCTGTTGTGTGATTGACTTCTGCTGATGGGGATGTTTGCTCAGATAATCACTCTGTTTGGATGTTACAATGATCAATGGGGGAGGCAAGGTGAATGGGGGCAATCATGCACATGACCACACGTTCTTCGTTATCAAAATACGGTAAATATCTATGACACAAATAATGTATTAATTTGTAAATTTATTTTGTTTGGTCTTCAGTTAGTTTGGCCCTCCCCCACACCCCCCTCCCCCACATGTCGCACCACCACCCCCACATGTCACGCCTTTGCAAAACTTTTGTCAATTAATGTATGCGTCTTTTTCTCATTTCTGAGCACTATGTTTCTCTTCTCCACCTTACAATGTGTGTGTGTCCACCTGTCACTTTTTGAACCACCGTTGATCAAATGGACCCACGTTTCAAACAGAAAAAAAAAACAGAATGAAATTGAAAAATAGAACCTAGCTGAGAAGTAGTATCCGAGAGCGCAGCAAATAAATTGCTGCCCTCTTGGATACTACTTCTCAGCTAAGAGCTATTTTAAAAAAAAAATATTTTGTTTTATTCTGTTTTTTTCTGTTTGTTCGCCGACGAAGGCTTTCTGCCGACACATTCGTTGTTTTGTTGCGTTCCTTTTTTTCAGGTTTAACCTTACTTAGTTTTTACTCATTTCCTATTATTTTATTATAATATGAAAAAAAGAAATATATTTTTTTTCTAAAATCTAGGTCAAAACAAAGTTCAATTTTTTTTTTTTTCAACATTTTATTTATGATAAAGCTCTTACTACATTTTCAGAATCACCTTCTAATCATAGATGACAATCCGGAATCACGGTAGTGAGCTGTCAAGGGCAAGGTTGGCCGGCTTACATCTGGAGGAAAACAAATCTCACTCAGGACGTGACTATGCAGCGTGATATCAACATGAATAGGGCCACATTTTTCTGACTAACGGTTTATGAAAAAGAAAAATAGGTTTCGCTAGTAGCGTGTCATTGAGCAAGTAGATGAGCTTATGACAAGGGTGTGGGTGCTATGTTGGAGGGAAAAAACACTTTATGTACAGCCAACGTTACAAAATAATCCTTGGTAATCCTTGATTGAGTCTTGGTAAGGGCAAAAAAATATAATCTGCTTTGTTGAATTCCATCTCACTAAATGACACCTATGTTGCCATGACTACCGATCTTAGTGCATAAATTGGCCGTGGTCACCATCTTGAACCATGTTGCCGTGATGACCCACGCTGCCATGATGACCCATGTTGCCGAGACCGTCTCCACGGCGACCCATGTTGCTATGACGACCCCTGTGTCCGTGATGACCCATGTTGCCACGATCCCTTCCACGCGGACCCATGACACCCCGACCGCCATCACCGTTCACCGTGTCACCATTGTCTCCGCCCATAGTTTCAGGATGCCTCTCGTTTCCATGACTGCGACCTTCACCTCTGTGACCTCTAGGCCTCCCGTTCCGTGAACCAAATATTCCGACTGTCAATAAACCTGGAAAAAATCCCCCGGAAAAATAACGTTACCATTTTGTGGAAAATATCCCGGGAAGAGAGGAGTTTGGGAAATAAGAGAATGATTTGTTGATTTCCTTCTGATACTTGCATCATTTACTTTTGATACGATTCCAATTCCTAGAACATACTAAAAATGGAATACATTACATTTTATCCCATTCCAAGAACATACTACAATACATTTTATCCCATTCTTAGAACATACTAAAATGTAATACATTATATCTTAACCCATTCCTAGAACATACTAAAATTGAATATTTTACGATTTATTTGATTCCTAGTACGTGCGCGTCACACCCCCAGCCCTTTTCAAACATCATCTCTTGCCGTGGGGAGCTCTGTGTAGCTTCTAGCCCCAGGCTAGTACAATTGATTGCTTCTTTAACATTACGTGGTGCATTCGCTACACAGGCTGTCATATAATCTCTGTCATCGACACAGTTTAGCGGCGCCATTAAATGCTGGGGGTTTGGTTAAGTAATCCAATGGTTGCAAAGTGACTGGCTTCAACCGGTCTTTGAGTACCCGAAAATAAACGATAAAAATGAAAGACTTTATCAAGGAAATGGACAAGCAAGGCATGTGAAGGCTTGAAATAGGAAGAAAGGATAATAAAAGAAAGTTTTTGAGATACTTTAAATTTCTTGTTTTTTTTTTCATTTGTCTCCACTTCTGGGGAAGGCTGTTGGCCGAAACATTTTTCTTTGATTGTTCTGTCTTTTTTATTTCAAGCTTCCATATACCTTTGTTCTTCTATTTTCTTGTGAGTTCCCTCTGCCCGCAGCAAAGCAGGATAGTGTTACAGGAATGATACATGTTATATGCCGCTGTCTAACAATCTTGTTGTTAGTGATGTCACGAATGGGCTTCGTAATTTCACGAGGTCTAATTCAATCCACGTTGAGGGTCACCTGCCAGCAGCAACCCTCCCCATTAATAAAATAAAGGAGCCGTCCGAAGATTTGGCTACACACCATTTTTAGCCAAATCTTTGAACGTAAATAACACTAATCCGGAGAATATTTACCCTTTAAAAGAGCGTTTCAACGTAATTTTTTAAAACGATTATCACACATTGCAAGGTTTGATCATTTCAAATGAATTGAGAAATAATTTTTTAAAAAAACAAACACAGAAAGCCACCGAGACATTGTGCGCTACGGATCGTGCCTTGTACATCCACACGCCACGAAGAGGCAACCCCCAATGTGAACGCCCCTAAGTTTCCCCGGAGACGCGCCCGGTTGCGCAGGACCGGTTCTGGTAAAGAAGGCGTTCAAATAGTTATAATAGGATCAAGGCAGATGGGTGAAGAAGCGGCCTCTGGGTTTTAAAAAAAACAACCTGAAGAATATGAGATCTTCAAAAACATAAGTTTAACTAACTTCTGAAAGTTTATGCTTCTCAATTAAAAAGACTCTTAAGATAATTTTAAATTGAATTTTTGGTGCGCCAAGGAAGGTTAAAGCATTTTTAAAAAATTCATTCATATAAACTTTGCTTTTGTTCGTGTGTTTCTTTCTGGCTTGGTGTGTGGCCAAATCTTCGGACGGCAAATTGACCCACTTCCCGCCAACCTATCGAGCTAAAACTTGGCACATGAACTTGTTGCCAATAACCACACATTCTATCAAATTTTCAGCTCCACCCTCACCCCCCGACCTCCCAAAATAAAATTTTCCTGTTTTGCAAAGGGAAGATGAACGAAATATGCTGACACCGAGTTCACAATGTAAAATTCCCGTTAACTGCGCTAAATGAGATTCTTAAAAAAAATTAATTAATATCGCAAGTTCGTTTGTTGCGTAATTTTTTTTTTTTCTGAAATAGTTGGTGAAATAAATCTGCAATGTAAGAGCGAGTGGGACATTAAAATATTAATATAAAATAAAATAATTTAAAAAAAAAGATTATAAAGGATTTAAAAAAAAAAACAACAACTTTTCTTTGACGGGATGGTTAATCAAATTATGTTATCTCATGTCAACCAAAAAGAACATCTCTCAAATACAGACATTTGATTGGCAACCAAAAAGAACATCTCTCAAATACAGGCATTTGATTGACAAACCAAAAAGAACATCTCTCAAATACAGACATTTGATTGACAAAAGAACATCTCTCAAATACAGGCATTTGATTGGTAACCAAAAAGAACATCTCTCAAATACAGACATTTGATTGGCAACCAAAAAGAACATCTCTCAAATACAGGCATTTGATTGACAAACCAAAAAGAACATCTCTCAAATACAGACATTTGATTGACAAATCAAAAAGAACATCTCTCAAATACAGACATTTGATTGACAAACAAAAAGAACATCTCTCAAATACAGACATTTGATTGACAACCAAAAAGAACATCTCTCAAATACAGACATTTGATTGACAACCAAAAAGAACATCTCTCAAATACAGACATTTGATTGACAACCAAAAAGAACATCTCTCAAATACAGACATTTGATTGACAACCAAAAAGAACATCTCTCAAATACAGACATTTGATTGACAACCAAAAAAAACATCTCTCAAATACAGACATTTGTTTGACTTGGATGGAGAATCGTTTTGTTCATTCGCTCCCCCCCCCCACCCCACCATTCCACAACAAGCAGTTCTGTTTACATGGGTCAGAATGAAAAGCTTAAATACACCAATTCGAATGTAGCTGAAATGTTCAGAGTTACAGTTTGCGCTCCTACTGGGCCGTAGTATTGTGTGATGATAAAATAAAAATGTGCCAGCGCATTTATCCCTAAAATATTGTTTTTTCTTTTCCTTGCACTTTTGTCGAAAATACCGTCCACCCTTAGATAGAGAATAACGTGCTGACCGGTGCATACAGCCCTCCCCCCCCTCTCCTACGCCCCTGGAAGGCTAGATCTAATAAATACATGGACACATAATGTTTTTAAAAGAGCAATAAATACGGTCAATACTTACATAGGCAGAGGGCCAGAATGACCACCGGCGTCTTCATGGTAGGGCGAAGTGTTTACTACAGGCCTAGGTACAGCGCGGAAGATTACTTATCGTAGTGCGCACAACGCTCAATTCAGCTGTTCAGCTCTGCTTGTACAGGGGCTGCAAGCCAATGGCCTCCAAGAAGTTGTGAGTTGTTGTGTTGTGTTGTGTTGTGTTGTGTTGTGTTGAGTTCTGTTGTGTTGTGTTTTGTTGAGTTGTGTTGTGTTGTGTTTATCAGCTTCAAGAAATCGGATGAGAGTCAGAGTCGAACGCGTCGGCTTCAAGCGTTAAGGGTATTTCCGGAACAACATTTGAAATACCCCTGTTCATTCATGGGATTCGTATTTGAACCGCCAGAACAACTACCTGACGTTACTGGTTGAGGCTGGCGTAATTTACCTAGAATCAAAATCGGGTCTTCCCCCCCCCCCCTTTTTTCCCCTTCATGGCCAACCCTTGGATGTTACAGGCGCGTCGTTTGTCAACTTAGGACAAGCAATCAAACAAATTGTTGGCTAGTGTCGAGAAGCGATGAATATATTTGCAACTACAAATGCGCGTGAGAGCTAAAGAAAAGTAGCTTATAGAGGAGCGTTTTCTACATGGGTGCGATACTACAGTGGTGCGATACTACAGTGGTGCGATACTACAGTGGTGTGATACTACAGTGGTGTGATACTACAGTGGTGCGATACTACAGTGGTGCGATACTACAGTGGTGCGATACTACAGTGGTGCGATACTACAGTGGTGTGATACTACAGGGGTGTGATACTACAGTGGTGTGATACTACAGTGGTGTGATACTACAGGGGTGTGATACTACAGGGGTGTGATACTACAGGGGTGTGATACTACAGGGGTGTGATACTACAGGGATGTGATACTACAGGGGTGTGATACTACAGTGGTGTGATACTACAGTGGTGTGATACTACAGTGGTGTGATACTACAGTGGTGTGATACTACAGTGGTGTGATACTACAGTGGTGCGATACTACAGTGGTGTGATACTACAGTGGTGTGATACTACAGTGGTGTGATACTACAGTGGTGTGATACTACAGTGGTGTGATACTACAGTGGTGTGATACTACAGTGGTGTGATACTACAGTGGTGCGATACTACAGTGGTGTGATACTACAGTGGTGTGATACTACAGTGGTGTGATACTACAGTGGTGTGATACTACAGTGGTGTGATACTACAGTGGTGTGATACTACAGTGGTGTGATACTACAGTGGTGTGATACTACAGTGGTGTGATACTACAGTGGTGTGATACTACAGTGGTGTGATACTACAGTGGTGTGATACTACAGTGGTGTGATACTACAGTGGTGTGATACTACAGTGGTGTGATACTACAGTGGTGTGATACTACAGTGGTGTGATACTACAGTGGTGTGATACTACAGTGGTGTGATACTACAGTGGTGTGATACTACAGTGGTGTGATACTACAGTGGTGTGATACTACAGTGGTGTGATACTACAGTGGTGTGATACTACAGTGGTGTGATACTACAGTGGTGTGATACTACAGTGGTGTGATACTACAGTGGTGTGATACTACAGTGGTGTGATACTACAGTGGTGTGATACTACAGTGGTGTGATACTACAGTGGTGTGATACTACAGTGGTGTGATACTACAGTGGTGTGATACTACAGTGGTGTGATACTACAGTGGTGTGATACTACAGTGGTGTGATACTACAGTGGTGTGATACTACAGTGGTGTGATACTACAGTGGTGTGATACTACAGTGGTGTGATACTACAGTGGTGTGATACTACAGTGGTGTGATACTACAGTGGTGTGATACTACAGTGGTGTGATACTACAGTGGTGTGATACTACAGTGGTGTGATACTACAGTGGTGTGATACTACAGTGGTGTGATACTACAGTGGTGTGATACTACAGTGGTGTGATACTACTGTGGTGCGATACTACAGTGGTGTTATACTACAGTGGTGTGATACTACATGGGTGTGATACTACAGTGGTGTGATACTACAGTGGTGTGAAATACAAGGCCTTTTCTACATGGGTGTGATACTACAGTGGTGTGAAATACAAGGCGTTTTCTACAGGGGTGTGATACTACAGTGATGTGATACTACAGTGGTGTGAAATACAAGGCGTTTTCTACATGGGTGTGATACTACAGTGATGTGATACTACAGTGGTGTGATACTACAGTGGTGTGAAATACAAGGCGTTTTCTACATGGGTGTGATACTACAGTGATGTGATACTACAGTGGTGTGAAATACAAGGCGTTTTCTACATTGGTGTGATACTACAGTGATGTGATACTACAGTGGTGTGAAATATAAGGCGTTTTCTACATGGGTGTGATACTACAGTGGTGCGATACTACAGTGGTGTGATACTACAGTGATGTGATACTACAGTGGTGTGATACTACAGTGGTGTGATACTACATGGGTGTGATACTACAGTGGTGTGATACTACAGTGGTGTGATACTACAGTGGTGTGATACTACAGTGGTGTGATACTACAGTGGTGTGATACTACAGTTGTGTGATACTACAGTGGTGTGATACTACAGTGGTGTGAAATACAAGGCGTTTTCTACAGGGGTGTTATACTACAAGGGTGTGATATTAAAGGGATGTGATACTACAGGGGTGTTATATTACAGTGGTGTGATATTACATGGGTGTGATACTACAGTGGTGTGATACTACAGTGGTGTGAAATACAAGGCGTTTTCTACAGGGGTGTGATACTACAAGGGTGTGATATTACAGGGATGTGATACTACAGGGGTGTTATATTACAGGGGTGTGATATTACATGGGTGTGATACTCCGGGGTGTGATATTACAGGGGTGTGATATTACAGGGGTGTGATATTATATGGGTGTGATATTCCAGGGGTGTGATATTACAGGGGTGTGATATTACAAGTGTGTGATACTACAGGTGTGTGATATTAGAGGGGTGAGAAAATACAAGGGTGTGCTACTACAAGGGTGTGAAAAAGAGGGGAGTGATGCTATAGACGTGTGTTACTACTGGGGTGTTATACTACAGGGGTGGGATAATACAAGGGTGTGATACTACAGGAGTGTAATACTACAGGAGTGTGATATGACATGAGTGTGGTACTACAGGATTGTGATATTACAAGAGTGTTATACTACACGAGTGTGATACTACAGGAATGTAATACTACAAGAGTGATATACTACAGGAATGTGATACTACAAAAATGTGACATTTTGGACATTTAAAACTATTAGTAATGAAATCAATAGTAAGTCCCAGGCTTGCTTCTTTTCAAATAAAACAATTATTTTGAAGTTTGACGTTATCATCAGGTGTTGCGTTCAATTCAATGTTATTAGATATTTGATTAAAAATAAACTTTAAAGTAATTTAAATAAATTTAATTTTGGAAACCATATTTTAATGTACGTATAAACAATGTGCAACATTATCATGGGATTTAAAATACATTGATGTAACTAATGCAACACGAAAGTTAGGTCTAAATAAAGTCACCAACACGACAGTTAGGTGTAATCACATTCATCAACATGACAGTTAGGTCTAATTACAGTCACCAACACGACAGTTAGCTCTAAATAAAGTCAGAACACGACAGGTATGTCTAAATACAGTCACAAATAAGACAGTTAGGTCTAATAACAGTCACAAACACGACAGTTAGGTCTAATTACAGTCACAACACGACAGGTATGTCTAAATACAGTCACCAACACGACAGTTAGGTCTAACTAAAGTCACCAACACGTCTGTTAGTTCTAAATACAGTCAACAATATCGTAGTAAGGTCTAAATTTTTTCACCAACATGACAATTAGGTCTAAAACAATCAGTATTAAAATTGTAGCCCGAAAGCTGTTGTTAATCATACAATTCCCACCAAAACATTTCTTTTCCAAGCAAGCTCACGCAATGAATGATCAAGATCAGGAACGCCTGACGAGTAGACGGAGCGGTATTTCAAACTTAAGAACGTAATTTTCACTTTTATAGCCTCTTCCTTAATGTAATATATTTGGAGGGCCCTAAAACTGATTGCTCCAACCAAACAGATCCCCATCGTGGGACGTACACAATGTAATATATTTGGAGGGCCCCTAAAACTGATTGCTCAAACCAAATAGATCCCCATTATCGGACGTAGACAATGTAATATATTTGGAGGGGCCCTAAAACTGATTGCTCAAACCAAATAGACCCCCATCGTAGGACGTAGACAAACGCAACGAAACGTAGCTAATGTTAACCAGGTTGATCTGCGTTAGACCATCTACTATTTTTGTGACACGCTCCTCTACAAACTCAACCAGGTGCGGATGACGCATGACAGGAAAATTACAGATGTCCATCAACTTGTTGTAGGGCCCTCAAAGCACGAAAGAACATCCCCCGACCGTTAAAACTAGAACAGCAAGAGAGGTCAGAGGTCATGGATCGCCATCGCTCGCGGTGCTATCAGCAAGGACACCAAGCCACTGCTATGGAATTTCAGCAACGAGTAGTTTGTCGCCCTACACATTAAAAGCGGCCAGTAAAGTTCTTATACAGCGGCTTTGAGAGGGATATGAGCCTTTGGTAGCGGGTCCAGTTCCCAGCACAGTCTCACATCGGATGTTAAAATACTCAGATATATAACACTGCGGATAAGGGACAGGGAACAAGGCGCCAGGGCACCAGAGGCGGGGCACATAAAAGTGGTTCTTAGTGTAGCTCTCTTGTGTCTCAGCATTGGTTCCCGAAATTCTTGGCTTTGGTTCCCAAAATTCTTGGCTTTTGTTCCAGACATTCTTTGCTTTTTTCCAGACATTCTTGGCTTTTGTTCCAGACATTCTTGGCTTTTCTTCCATACATTCTTGGCTTTTGTTCCCGACATTCTTGGCTTTTGTTCTCGACACTCGTGGCTTTGGTTCCCGACATTCTTGGCTTTTGTTCTCGGCACTCGTGGCTTTGGTTCCAGACACTCTTGGTTTGGGTCCAGACATTCTTGGCCTTGGTTCCCGACATTCTTGGCTTTGGTTCCCGACATTCTTGGCTTTTGTTTCTGACTTTCTTGGCTTTTGTTTCCGACATTCTTGGCTTTTGTTCCTGACATTCTTGACTTTGGTTCCAGACACTCTTTACTTTGGTTCCCGAAACGCTTGGCTTTGGTTCCCGACATTCTTGGTTTGGTTCCCGACATAGTTGGCTTTGGTTCCCAACATAATCTAGTGTTTTACTTAGAACCTATAATCT